TTTACATGTATGGACTTGTAATCGAAATAGGTTTACTCACTATTCACTTAATACTACATTCATGCTACTTGCTAGATGTTCCCATGATATGTGGGTTCTTGAATTAAAGAGTTAATTCAAGAATAAGAGTTAATATGAATAACTCAAATTACAAAGAGTTGTAAACCCACTACTAGTATTAATTGTGAACCTAAAAGGTCACACCAATTTTTGAATGAAGGTAAAATTCAAATAGTATTTCTAAAGAGTTAGAATTAATTGACAAATCTAATTTGATTAGATATCACTTAAAGGAATATATTAAATTAATCAATTAGATTGATTAATTGAATTTTGGATATTAATTTAGTAATTAATAGAATTACTAATTAATAGTTGGAATTTAAAATTGGATTTTAAATTTCAAATCTATATATATATTAAAAGCCAACCTATTTACCAAAAATAGTAGCAAGAAAAGTCAACACACATTTAATGCATACCTTATTTGGTAATTTTTACTATATGCATTAAATGCTTGCATATTTACATTTATTATCCAAATATGATCTTAAAGATTTTTTCCTTAAATTTATACAATGATTTTACTGATATCTATTATAATTAATATTTGTCGAGTAATATTTTTTTAACCTTTATTTAATTATATAAAACTAATATTTTTTTTAAAAAATAATATTATTTAAAAGATAATGATCACATCATTAAATGATTTTATTGATGGTTAGATAATAAAATTATATTAGTTATTCTTTAAATTTTTTATTAAAATAAAAACCGGCTTAAGAAAAAAAAAATCTCATAACATCCGATAAGTCAAAAAAAGTACGTAAAATCTTTACTAAAATAAAAAAGACTCTATTTATTTGTCTTATTCCATAATAACATCGATTTAGTCAAAACAAATCCCATAATCGGTGAAGTCAAAAAATGTACGTAAAGCCTATTTATACTAAAAAAAAAGACAGATTCAAAATTCCTTATCTAATTTCTGTTTAAAGCATTTTATTTAATATTTATTTATATGAAGTACTGGATATGATTGCTGGATTTGAGTCAATTTTGAAATCGCGTTGTTTGGTATGAGAGGATTATCTTCATCCTATATCTGTCTAAAGCATATTATTTTATATTATTTAATTAATTTATTTAATATTAAATTTTTTTATCCATGATATCAGTTTTGTCACAAATTGAACAACAAACAAATAAAAAAGAAATGGAATTAATTACTTTCGACTTGTAAAAAAATTTAAAATTTATGGGTGGACGTAAATATTTAACAATGCTATTTCAAGTTCCTTAAATAATACTATAACTATGATGTTGAAATATAATCTGTTTTATGAGTGACGTAAATATGTTGTTTAAAGTTCCCTAAAATACTTTTTTTTTTAAAATTATGCTGTTTAAAGTTCCTTAAATATTAATATATTTAAAGTATACACATGCTGTAATATATTAAAGTCAAAATAATGTTGGAAGGCTTTTGAATTATCTAAGTTAATTAATTTAAATGTTTAATCACATTAAATCTTCAATCCATGGAATATTTTTACTAATCCCGTGAGCATGTTGTTTTGTTATTGTAATCAACTTATACACTATTTTACTAATAAATTATTTAATATCTATGTATAAGGAGGTTTTTAATAATATATGATTTTTTTTTGTCAGATACTATTTTATTGTATACTTTTCCTGCGTGCGATAAAACTTTTATTGAATATTGCATCTTATAATAAAATATTCCCTAAATAAATATATCCCGTGTATCGCACCGGTCATGTATTATATATATCTTGTACATTTATTTTATTCATTTATATAATTATAAGGCTGGATAAATAACCTTAAAATTGTGCACCCCGTGCATCGCACGGGCTCTGTACTAGTCCAAATAATAATAAGATTATTAAATAAGGAAATGGAAGAATAGATTAAAATAATAAAGTCTTAAAAAATGTTTTCAAGAATTATTATTTTATTATTTATCTTTAATATGATTGAAGATTAAATAATAATAAGAATAAATTAATTATGGTAGTTTGGAGTTGTTAACCAATCTACATAATTAATCTTATTTTTATTAATACAATAATGATGATTGATGGTGGTTATAAACCAATCACATTATTAATTAAAAGTCAATATTTGGTATGATTATTTAAATAAAATCTGATTTTATTTAAAATAACATATATCAAATATTGATTATTTTATGCTAAAATGTTTAGTATAAATAGGTGCAAAATGTTTGCACATTAATTGCTAAGTTTTTGGTTAAATTCTTTCAAGAGAAAAACATTCAAAGAGTAGAGTGATAAAACAAGAAAGAGTTCTTGTAAAATTTCCTTATAAATATATATATTCTATACTTCTTGAAAAACCGAGTAGTTTCTACTAGCGAAGAAACTATAGTCGGAACCAAAGTTCATAAGGTGGATACGATTAGAGGGAAGACATTTGGATTCCTAAAGTGAGTAACCACAAGAAGTGATCGTTACCAAACCGGGAATTGATTTCCTCATACATCGTCGGTCTTGAAGGAGTTCAAGAACAAAGGTAATTTTTATAAATTACATATCAAA